ATCTATATTATATTGCAATGATATTATATTATATTTATAAAATAATATATGCAGTTAATATATTTTAGTTTAGGCACTAATTCACTGCACAGTTAGTTTGTAGTCCAAACATATATATTTTGATAACACTCCCATTTTTCAGATAACATTATCAGCCATTGCTAACAACATTTTTAACAAATCAATGGGACTATCGTTTTGTTGGTGAAAACTATTTGAGTTATAGGTTTGCGTGTCATTCAAATAAAGCTATCATTGCGTATACAGTATACCAATAGTTAAAACACTGCATTTAATTTATACGCTTATTATTCAGTGAAATAAAATATTGATGCAAATAATTGATTGTTTTATTTTTGAATATTTGAATATTTAAATACTTTGTTTTTTTATTACTTAACTGTTTAACGGCTAATATTATAAAAAAGAATAAAATGTTTATAACATTTATTTTTATCAATCATATATTATAAAATATCTTAATGTTTAGTTTTCCTAAAAGGATATATAAATTTTAAATTATCTGTTTATTTAATTGACATAAATGTTTGTTATTGTACTAATAAAAAGTCAAATGAATTATATTTTTAAAATAAAATTGATTTAAGAGCTTTTGATAAGACATGTGAATGAATTCAATTATATATAAAAAAATTCAATTATATCATAATATATAAGCATATTATTTAAAACATTCAATGTTGTTTATTTCATGAAAATTGATTTTAAAATTAATTTATAATGACTTTTAAATTATTAAGTTTATTTTTTATTCATTGCACAAACTAATTTGCAATCAATTATATGTAAAATGTTTTTATATTAAATTTATCAAACAAGTGATCAAAATGACAGACATTGACTAGATTTTTAAGTAATATAATAGTATTACTAAACAAAATAATAATTAAACTTTATTATTTTTAATTATTATTTTTAATAAATAAATAACAAACAATTATAAGTTGACTTTAAATATGCTTTTTATCAATTATTAAATTTATAAATCAAATATAATTATTATGTCTGTTTAATAATAAATAACTATCTCTTTTATAAATGTTTATAATTTGTAGTTTAAATAGAAAATAATATTAATTTTGTGAGTTATGAACGCTATTGTAAGCAAAGTGTCAAATAAGTGATGTGTTATACCATTGAAAATAAGGTGAGAAAGAAGGGAAAGGTTTACAATATGAATGCAAACATTAATATTTTGTTATTTATTTATTTAGATATTTTTGCTAAAATCTTAGATCTTATTGAGAGCACTGATATAACATAGAGAGGGTCTCTAAGATAGAGGACTGGTATTTGTCAAGTTCTCAGCACTGGTTTATTAATTTTATACAAATATCATACTATCTTTAAACAGCTTTAGAGTGGCTTTTTGTGTTTATCTTTGTGTTAATAATGTGAGGATAACAATAATGATGACAACAATTGAAATAATTGTTATATAGCCTTAAGTTAACAGTAAAATAAAATTCACGTTTAATGATAAGCGTCTAATGAGTAAAACAATCTGTTTTGTCAAATACATAGTTAATGTACTGAATATGTGTTTTGGGAGACACACTATATTCACGCAATCAGTTATGTTATAGAAAAAGCTTTTGTATAATCATTTAAAATATAGTGTGTGAGTGAGTGAGTGATAGTAAATAAAACTAACTAAATATTATAATAATAGTATATATAATAATATTTGGAGAGCAAAAAACTTGAAAATTATAAAACACTATTAATGTTATGAAGAATATAATATATTTGTTGATAATGTCTGGTTTGCCACCCAATGCGCCGTTGCCTTCACTCCCGACACACAATTGGCTAACAATTGCAGCATTTGGTGACTTTTATAGATTATATGTTTTCATAGCCTCACACACACACATACATACATACATACACACACACACACACACACACACACACACACACACACACACACACACACACACACACACACTCATTCACTCATTTTCTATGAGTTTAGTCGTTGAGTTTCGATCAGTCATCGAGACTGACAGCCGGTGTTTAGTCAACAAATTATAGACTCGTTTATTGTTGAGAAGGAAATGATATAAAAAATATACTATTATAACAATATATATATATATATACTGTACTATACATCATATCAAATAATACGATTTGAAATATTATTAACCAATAAGTAAATCGAGACACAAAACAGATACTAAAAAATCAATTCCCTGTTAACACTATTTGCGGTTTACATTTCATACAAAATATTTTACAAAACGCTACAAAATTGTCTTTTTATTGTCTTTCCTGTAATTGTAAAGATAGCTGACAAACATTATAGATCTTATAAAAAAATTCTATAAATATATTTTTAAAGTAATTTATATATTATCGGTATATTAAAAGGGAAATCATATTAAAACATGGAAAATATTGTGCAAATAATATAAAAAATTAATATTTAAAAAAATCTGTTAAATATAATAATCTCATTCTATAATCTTAATAATTTTGGCCAAAAAATCTATTTTTGTTTCTCGAAAAACTCATTCATTAATTAATGTAAGACATTATCGCAATCATTATATCAATGGGGCTCTCCTTAAATAAACACGATTTTCTATTTATCTCTATATATTGTATTAGAGATAATGATTTTTAATAATAAAGTTAATTAAAAGCTTTATTAATTATTGTAAATTATTTATAGTCTATATTTTTAATTATATCCACTGAAATCATTATATATTATGAAATATAATAAAGAGTGTAAAGGGTTTTGGAGCACATTATTGTTAATCTTGAGAAATAAGTGGTACTTAATATAAGTAAGTAATGAGTAAATAATATAAAATTTAAGTTTTGAAATTATTGAGCTCTTAAACATTAAATCAACTCATTGTATCTTAAAAACCCGAGTATTATCAATAAGTATAGCATTAAAGATTAAATTTCAAATTATTTATGATATGTGAGATTGTCTGAGAGGGCGGCCATAGATTTTGACATTTTAAATATTAAAGTTATCAGTATTTCCTTTACAATATTATACAATATAAAAAATAATAGTTAGTGTAAATCATTAAAACATTAGGCGTTTGATGTTTTATATCCCTGAGCCATAAACAGTCAAATAGATGCAAATACAGGCTTCAGGTGTAACTAATAGTAAGTGTCGGCACCGTTTGTTGTGGCAGATACTGACAACTGATTACACTGAATCTCATTCAAGTAATTGAACCGATATTGTGTTAAATATGACAAAATGACCACTTCTTATAACTAGACATTACCTTTACATCCATGGGTGGCAAACATTTACAACATTTTACTCACAATTGAAATCTTATGAATGCAATTACAGTTTTAGTTTTATTAATAGCATTATATTTTTCCTATTATTTGCAATAGTTATACAAAGTTTGCAATCTTTTAAAATATGATTTCATTGATTGTTGAAATCAATTTATACCTTCAAATTAATTCTACAAACAGTTATCAAACAAATAACATGTTTTTTGACCCAATATTTTCTAATTAGTTGTCAATCAATCAATCTATTCAACATATATTGCATTTAATAGTTACTTATAATTTACATATAATTTTAGTCATTTATTTAAATAAATAATTTTTTTAAAAACTTTATTGTATAGTATAATACACTTAAGACAATGCACTCATTTGTTTATTGTCGGTAATTAAATAGTTAAACATAACCATAAAATATGTTTGTTAAAAATTAATGTTTAATTATAAGATTGTGTGATTGTAGTTAATAAATTTGATTGACTATAATTAAAGTGAATTTTGTATAAAAACAAGATTAACAAACAAATGTTTATATTTTAAATAATTCAAACAGTTGTATGTAAGAAGTGTCGGTTTTATATAATTTAATGATTAACACACAAACAGTCCATATGTTTTAGTATTTGAAACTATTATTATAATAACTTTAAATCTAATTTATGATAATTATTCATTGAAAATCTTGTATCACTTGTTTGTTATTAATTTATGTTAACAAGGATTGTAAGCATCAGTTTGTTGTATCTCTCATATGATTTAAATGACTTGATTTCTCATTTAAATCTCAATCTCTTTATATTTAAGATAATGTATTCAATTTCTTGAGGGCAATGAGTCTGAGGCTATAATTTGATATTATATAAGAAATTTTTCCATTTATTTATTTCATTGAACTGATTGAATCATTAATTGCTATAAATGTTTATAATAATTCAATTTAAATCTTAACTATTTGAGTGTAATTAAAGTGATTAAAATAATATTACCCATTTGTTTAATAGAAATATAATATTATTTTTGTTTTGATAAACTTGTTATTAAACTCATATAATTTTCACTCAAATCTAAAATTATTCAACTTTTAAAGCAAATTATGTATTGTCATAAAATTTTCAGTAATTTACTGCATATCATAATATTTTATTTATATTTGCTTTTTAATTTTTTTAACATGTAATATATTTATATATTAAATAAGTAATTTTTCATCTAATCTCATCAAATAAGTCATATCTAAATTTTATTTACTCCATAATTGTGCGCTTGGCTACACTGATCTTAAAAATTCAATTAAAATAAATTAAAAGTATTTAAGGCATTTCATACAAAATCATATATACAGTATATTGAATGTATAGTATCCGTAACAGGTTTATAATTTTTATAAATTTTATTGATACTAATAACTGCTAAACACAAATCAAGCAATAAAAACAAGTTATAAGCGTCAAAATTAAGAAATAATACTTAAAAACATTTGCTAATAACAATAAAAATATAACATCTAATTATGATAATTACTATTATTGATTAGAAGTTAATAAAATAATATAAAATATTAATCAATAAAAATGATTGACAGAATAGACTTAAATGTTATTGGAATGTAATTTAATAAAAATAAAAATTAATTAATACAATAAAAACAAAATAATAAATTATATAATGAGTTAATCAATATATACTGTTATTTATAGACGCATCGGCCGATCACTTGAATCTCTTCAGCAACAGATCGGCGCAGTCGAAGAAAAAACGGAAATCGAGGACAGCCTTCACTAATCACCAGATCTTTGAATTAGAGAAAAGATTTCTCTATCAGAAGTACTTATCGCCGGCCGATAGGGACGAAATCGCACAGACATTAGGACTGACCAATGCTCAGGTCATCACATGGTAAGTACCATTACATTTGATATTAAATAATTTTTTAAAATGTGTTATTTATTATATAGGTTTCAGAACCGTAGGGCAAAACTGAAACGCGATATGGAGGAGCTGAAGAAGGACGTGGATGCGGCCAAACTGATTCCGGTTCATAAAAGTCTATTAGAGATACAGGACTTGAATCTCCTAAAAAAGGCTGAATTGGCTGCAGTTCTTCACCAACACAGCAAATCGTCTCTCAGTTAATTGTTTTGTGGCATCTCTTTGTGTTCAAACATATCAACATTTATTTAAATATCTTATTTTTATTTTTAATATTAAGCTAAAAACTAATGCTATTATCAGATATTATGTGAATTTATTATTAAATTCTGTAATTGAATATAAAATCGAGTAATTATGACTATATTTACTTATATTTTATTATTTCTTGTATGTATTGCAATGTTTATCCTAATGTTATTATTATAAGACAGATAGAGACCAGTGTTTAGTGTTTATATGATATTATTTATTGCAAGCAATTGTAAGCAATGAGAAAGCTTTGTATAACCTAAGGGCTGACATTCATTGAGAGAGAGAAATGTGTTATTTTTCTCCCGAAATAATCGTTAAATCCCTAATAAATGACACCATTTGCTGTTAATTATTGTTTTACTTTTTTCCTTTATAATTACTACCAAAAAGTTAGAGATACTTATTATAAGCAATAAAACGGTTGGATTGAAGAGAAATTTGCATTTAATTCAATCGTCTCATTGCTTGTCATGTATTCCCATAAAACAATTGCTATTATTTTACTAGTAATCTGTTTTTAAAAAGCAATTCAAATAACTAATGTATTGTATTTTATGTTATTCAAGACATTATGACAAACATTATTTGCTACCGTTTATCATATTTGCATATTTAATGTCATTTTGATATTGATTTTGTGTTAACATTTATACAAAAGATATTTATATTACTAAACACAAAACATTAAGAAAATTGAAGTCATTATAACATTTGATTTAAATAATGGCTAAATTATTTACAATAAAATGTTTATAAATATATGTATTATAATGAAATAAATCACAATTATAACGATTTTATGTATAACTTTATTACATAGTATTGTAATCTTAGAAACGATATAAATATTATAAATATTATTGTTAAACACTATAATAATAGACATATGATAAAGAAATGGTTGGTTAATAGTAAATATATTATGAAAATCATAATAAATAAGTAATTATTTTTGTTTTTGTGTAAAATATTTTTAAATAAAAGGTGTTAAAATTAGTCAAAGTGAAACCAAATTGAATACATTATAATATATTCCTCATATTATTATTGTCGACTAATTTTAAGTTTAAATGAATTGAAACTAATTTCAGAAATAAAAATAGAGTAATAAAGATTTGGCTAAATATATGTCTCCATACATACATGTCTTGAATATTAATTATGTTTTCAAACCATCCGGTGTCGACATTCATAAACAATATATTAATATAATACTAATAATTATATAGTAAAATATACAGATTGTAGACATCAAATACAATACAATGTATGGTTTAGTTAGAGTTATCACAAAAGTGTCACCAAATACTCTATACTTTTTAAGGTCAATGGTATGACATTTTTAATATTATCTGTAATTTATGTAATATTATTATAAATGTATATAAATAAATATATATATTCCTAATTAATAATTCAACAAAATTGTCTTAATTAATTTAACCAAAAAATTGTCAATAAAATACTAAATTTAAAAAATCCAATAATTTATGTTTATAAGTTTTATTAAAACATTTCAAACACTTATATTAAGTAAATGAAAGAATTAATTTGAGTGAATAAAATCATTTTATGTAATGCAATGAATAAACATTATTATATTGTAATTTTTTGTTTTAATGAAATTAATGAAAAATGTTTTTTAAAAACAAATGTACAGAATTTATAAATGTATTTTAAATATTGTAATTCATTAACGCTTTATATAATGAATAAACATTATTACTATTATCAATGGCTTTAATTTCAATTTGCTTTTGGAATAATTAATGTAATGTTAGGTAAATGTTTAATTGAAATAATCTATTTTATAGACTGAAAAATAATACTACAATTATTTTATATAATATACTAATGTTTAATATATACTTAATAAAATATTGACTATTATTACGTATATATATATATATATATATATATACTGTGTATAAGTATAATAAAATACATATTATAAATCCAAACGACTGAATGTCGATATAAAGGCAATAATATTTAGCTAATTGACGGTCACATCACGTCTTGTCCAGAGAGCTATACAATAGACTATACAATAATTACTTTGGTTTTATGTTTTGTTGGCAAACGACTGTCAGTAACACCAATACTACTACTACTACATATGTTGAGTAGAGTTACCATATTTCTAGTAATCAACCTATTTATGAATTGTCATTAGTGTTGGCAAAAAAAATAAATTTATAAAATAATAGAAAAATTTCTATTTATGGGATCCCCATGGTTAATTTTGTTCTATCGATATTTGTTATCTTAAACATTGTTTTTATAAGTAATATTTAAATTAAATTAATTAATATAAATTAATTTATTTAATTATATTAAACTATGATATAATAAAATGCTGATAAAATTTTACAAAACTGATTATTATTAAATAATTATTTATATAGGTATCCCATTTGTATAATAGTATTATACAGTAATCTACATTATATAGTATAATATTATATGTATTAGTACAGTATGTCTCATTAATATATTTATAGTTTTACAATATCTATAGATATGGGATCCAATAGTATAACAATAAAGTTAAATTTCTATAGAAATTTATTCCTGAGAAACTTTCTAGAAACTTTTTATTTACCCATCTCTACAATTTGTTTAAATACAACAATTTTTAATATTTATAATATATATAATATATAAAATAATTAATATTTATCTACAAATATTAATAAACTACTTTGCTAATTTTTCAAAATTTATATTGTTTTTATTTTAGTAATACTTTATAATATTTAAATCTAATTATTTATGTAAACTTTTATAACTGGTGTCATTTTTTACAATTTAATTTATAGTTTTATATACAGTATATACCGTATATACATAATATAATTTTCAAAATTTTATAAATTACAATCATTTTCTTAATGATGAAATTACATAATTTAAACCCAATCATTAGTTTAAAATATTAAATATTTTAGTTATTTTAGTAATACAAAACCAGAAAGTAAAGAGTTGGCAACACTAGATTTGTATAGTTTTGTTGTTTCAATTTTAATAATCCTATATGTATTAAAATATTGTTATTTCGCTAAATTATTTTTATTTTTATTTATAGTATTACTTTATTATTATTATTATTATTATTATTATTATTATTAGCATTAATATTATAGTCTTCAATACCTATGAACTGTAGTTTATGTGAATGATATGAATACTAAATCACATGAATTTTATTCTTTAATTTATTTTTTAATGTTATCTCAACTCTCAATACTCTTATAATACAATTATTGTTTTATTACAATAATAATCAAGAGTTTTGTCATTAAAGTAGTTATATTTATATATAGTATGTATGATATATGAATAGTGAGGTGTTTTTTGTTGGTCATTGAATTGTTAGTTAGATAACTAGTGGTTAGACATATGAAACTCGGGCTTATAATAAAACTGTGTCTCAATACTAATATTACAATTTATGCAAATTATTTTTACTGCCATATAATTGATATCAAAAAGCGCTACTTTTTAATAAAATAGTGCATTTGTGAGCCCATCTGTAATACCTGTGCCCCAAACACATGAGTAATTAAGTATTGAATGGTGAGATGAAATACAGTAAATTTATAGTAAAGACTTTTTTATGATAAATCAAAAATGCCAAACACGTCCATCAATTTCGCTAATTTGTATCCAAGCCATGGACAGGTAGGTCTCTATGATCATCACTATCACTAAATTATATTAGTCCTTATAAAAGGCTTCAACAATGAGTGAGACTGTAGTAATGTCGGGAAAGACACGCAGATATCTCATTAGGACTGTTATGACTCTCATTATAAGTGTTGGTCTCTCACTCATTAAGAGATGGTATGTATTCCCGGAAAATAATTAAAGCTTTGAAATAATGAAATGAATGTTATTTTATTTGTGTCTCAAATGGACATTTAGGTGGTGTTATGTTATGCCATCGCCTGAGCTATCATTAGATATATTAAAACACACCATAAGATTATTCAAAAAACATTTTATTCATACACTTTATGAGTCATTTATTATAAACACATTTTAACTGATTATTTAAAGCTATTTCTCACAATATTTGTCTAATATTTATATTTATGTAGATTTTTCTTAATGTAAAGTCTATTTAAAGTTTAACATTATCTCATAAAATTAACTTAATATTTGCATTGAATGCTTTTTAAGAAACAGTCAACAAATAAAATTTTCTCTTACTTTTGTAAAAATTCTACAAATTTTATGCACAATAATATAAATTACAATTGTAATAATAATAATGACTGAAATGTGCATATAATTAAATAACAAACTAAATTATGCCTTAAAATTTCAATTTAAACACAAATTTTTAAAAATGTGTTTAAGTTAAGTAAATAGTTTTCATAAATCATATTTTAAATTTCAAAACAAAAACTAGAAATAAATTTTATTTTGACTAATTTAATGCGATTCGCGTCGATTCAGATGAAAAAATTGTCTCATATTTAATAATTTATGGATCCATAAAATTTCTGACATCAATATATTTTTATGTATAAAATATTAACTATACTGTAAAATGTTTAAGTAATTGAAAACAATGATGAATAAACTTTAAAGAGAGTTAATAAAAAAAGTGACAGTAATTTAAATGTAATAAAATTGTAGTTTTTATATTATTATACTAATAATATTGATGTTATAAATAGCTTTGAAAAAATTCTTGTTTTATGTGATTGGAGTTTACAACCTAATAGTCTCTACAATAATATTGTCATTTATATAATGTTTATTACTGTATAGTAAATAGAGTTTAAGTAAAATTATACAATATATTACATATTTACATCAATAGTCAAACCCCTTCAATATATTTTATTTTTATATTACAGTATATCAAACATTTGCCTAAATTGTAAATTTATATTCATTTCACATGACATTCATAATGTTAATAATATATTTTATATTTGAA